GAGATGGAGGAGAAACAATTTGAGGCTGAAATGAAGATGGGATAGAGTCAAGTGACGAAGAGGGCAAAACAAGATCAGCAAAGGGATCCACCAAAGAATTTGTGTGAACAACAGTATGAAATGGGAAAATATCCTCATGAAACACAACATCTCGAGAAACAAAAAATTGTTTTGTCTTCACATCATACAACTTGTAACCTTTCATGCCTGTTGGATAACCCAAGAAAACACAAACCCGAGCTCGAGGATCAAACTTGGTTCTGTGAGTTGGTAGAGTTGAGGCAAAAGCCAAACAACCAAACACCGAAGTGACAAGTAATCCACAGAAGTTTTATAGAGTAGTTCAAAAGGAGACTTGTTGCCAAGGAAAGGGGAAGGGGTCCTATTTATGAGAAATGCCGCTGTAAGGACACATTCACTCCAAAAAGAAAGTGGGACTCTTGACTGAAAATACAATGCCCGTGCAACATTTAGGAGATGTTGGTGTTTACGTTCCACAACAGAATTTTGTTGAGGTCGATCAACACACGAAAATTAATGTAAAACACCCTTGTCAGAGAAAAATTCAAAAAAATCCAGCTCCTTAGCATTATCAGAACGAAAAGCCTTTATTCTGCTGTCAAACTGAGTATGGATCAAATTAAAGAAGCGAGGTAAAATCTTGATTGCATCAGACTTGTGTTTAAGAAGGAAACCCCATGTAAATCTGGTACAATCATCAACAAGAGTGAGGAAAAATCTATGACCAGACCTAGCACTCAAATGATAAGGGCCCCATATATCACAATGTATAAGATCAAAAGGAAATTGTGATTTATGATTATGAGAAACAAAGGGCAATCTCCACTGCTTTGCCAATGGACAAATGTAGCAGGGACTATTATTATTACAAAATGGATCAGGAAAATGTAAAGTGTCTTTCAAAACTCCTAGTACTTTGGAAGATAAATGACCCAATCGACAATGCCAAGTATGAAAAGAAGCATTATTTACACTTATAGGAAAAGTGTTTTGCAAAGAATCTGAAAGGGAACCAGTCAAGAACACATACAAGTCTGCAACTCTATCACCCTTGCCAATCATCCTCCGGCTGGTAAGATCCTGAACCTTGAAGTGATTAGGGAAAAACTCGAAAGTAAGCTGAGAAGTAGCACTTAGAGCACTCACAAAGATCAAATTAAATTTGAATTGGGGAACAAACAAAACATCCTTGAGAATGAGTTGGTCATTTAGTCTCACATCTCCACAAAGACTAACCGGAAAACTAACATTATTAGGCATAGTGACCCACGCATTTCTTATAGGCCTCATAGAAAGGAAAACATTTGAACTGAAACAAATGTGCTTGGAAGTCCCAGAATCAACAATCTAAATATGTTCAGAAGAAAGATAAGATGCCGAAGGGACAAAAAAACATATACCTGCAAATGTGTACCTGAGGAATCATCTGGCTGATTATGAGTTGTAACTGAAGTAGCCAAATGAGAGGAAAGCATGCTCATCAGGTGCTGATATTGATTGCTGTTCAAGGTCTTGATGAAACCCCCAACGTCTCCAGTGCTCTGGTCTTTAGAAACAGACTTGTTAGAAAGCTGATTAACTGAAACATTCTGACCTTTTTGTTTTTGCTTGAATCCAGGAAGGTAACCATGGAGCTTGTAACACCAATCAACAGTATGACCATGGTAATTACAATGGATACAGAAAGGCCTTTCCTTCATTGGATAACGATTTCCACCAGAAAAACCTGCCTCTGCACTGGGCTTCTTACCAACATAATGGCGGACTTGCCAGAAGAAGTAGAATCACTAGATCTCGGAGTTCCCATGGAGATTGAAGAAGAAACTCAACCGGAAATTGAAGAATGTTGAGGAAGAGGATCAATTCGTGAAGAAATTGAAGAATATTCAACAATCTTGCGGAAGAAGAATCGAGAGGAAAAAAAAATCAAACAGCGAGCGAAAAGTGCTCTGATACCATATTACGAGAGAAAATAAGAATAAGCAAAAACAGAGAAGCCAAGAATGAATGAATTCTTCAATTTGAATTAATTGAGCAGAGTTACAAGTTCAAGTATATATACTAGTGTACGAGAGCAAGTGTAAGTTACATTTGTACATAACTAAGCACTAACAGATTCCAGAAGACTAACAACAAACTCTAAACTAACTAACTGCCTAAAAAAAGCCACGACGGATATCCATCGTACCTTTGAATCTCATTGAAACTTTCCAAGCGATGAGATACGGAAATTTTAGACTCGGGTGAGTTCTCACCTGGTTTTAGAAGGCGGTAGATGAGAAGAACAGAAGATGGTTGTCGTTCGAAGTGATTGTTTATGAAGGATGGTTGTCGTATCGCAGATTTCTAGAGACTTGACGTCCAATCTCAAAAGTATGTCTTGAATGATACTTGGGGAGATTGTCGAAAGAACAGGTTGTCAATACTCTACTCTTTTGCTTCATTGTGTTGTGCAGGAGAGCGAATGAAGCAATTAGGAGGACTAAGACAGCTGACTCAAATTACGACTGCTAACTACTCTCTCTCTCTCCCTGTCTTGAGAATTACGTTACTTTTTTTTTAGTAGTTTACATTTTATAACTTTATAGAAAATTGGGACAGTAGGGAACGGGATAGATTCCAAAGGAAATTTTGGAAAGTCGTATTTTCTATAAAAAGAAAAAAAATAATCAACAAAAGAGATTGCCTACAATATTATTCAAGGAGATCATAAAATAGAGACATAAACTATAAAATTAGGATGAATTGGTAAACTGGCTTTTTCTTTTTTTCTTCTGTTTTTTTTTTTTTGGTCAAACTCGAATAATGTTAATTATTTATCTTTCATTTTTTTTTTCACTTAATATTGTAATACTCAATATAATATAAAGAAAAAAAAAACTTTATCCCGTATAAGATTGATGGTTAAACAAAAACAATAAATGCCATAAGATTAAAATGCTAAGAGATCTGAGAACATTTTATCAATAATTCAGTAGATTTCACTGATACTATTTTCACTTCTTCATGTTCTTGGTGGCCGGCGTTGGAAAAAATTAAGAGGTGATGGCAGAAACCAGTGAGAAAGTGGAATTAATCATGCTGGTATGACTATGAGTTGTCCTAAATTGACTATGACCAACAATACGATCATAACGACAACAAATTAAGGAAACGACAACAACATTGAAAATACAGTTGAAGATACCATACACTATTCACGAATACAATAATCTGATCAAGTAGCATGAGGCCTATTTGAATTCAAGTTCAATTGTTGATCGAAATCAACACTTAATTTTGACGTTTTCTAGCAACGGGGATTTTTTTTTTTATATGATTTGAAAAAGAACACAAGGTGAAAAACAACATGCCTAGAAAACGACGATAAATTGAAGCAATAACAAAAGGCAAAGCGACTAAAGATGAACGACAAAAAACGACGATCATTGAGAAAACGACGATAAATTGAAGCAACAACAAAAGGCAAAGTGACTAAAGATGAACGACAAAAAATAATGATCGTGGAAGGGAAACTAATAAAATGAAACAATATTCAACTTTATAAACGGCAATAATTGAGAAAACGATACATAAATAAATGAACGAGCTGAACAATAATGTTCAAAACAACTAGGCACTAGCAGATTTTCAGAAAAAAAAAAAAGATTTAGTAGCAATAAAAAATCGAACAAAAATAAAAGGCATAGAAAAGAACAACAAAGCAGAAAACGACAAAGAGGAAAAACTAATTAGTTTTCCAAAAATCGTCCTCTAATCTCTTCACAAATTCCCAAAATTTTTGGGGGGAGAAAGAGAAAAATAGGCCAAGACTTGAGATGAATTAAAATTAATAGGCCAATAGTTTACATAAGTTAATAAATAGGCCAAATTACTGTTTTCGTCCATAACTTGTTTGGTTATGAACCATAACTTGACAAGTTATTGTTCATAACTTATCTGGTTATGAATCATAACTTGACAAGTTTGTCCATAACTTATCTGGTTATGAACCATAACTTGACAAATTATGACCTATTAATTTTTATAACTAAAAAATGGCTTATATACTTTCTTAAGCTTTTCATATTGACCTATTTCCTACTATTTCCCAATTTTTGGGCCAAATCATTCAGTTTAAAGGCCTAGCCATCCCGGCATTTTTAAAATATACACTTTTTAATCCTTTTGTTAATAAGTTGTCTACTTTTTGCCCTTGCATATCCCATCCTCGTGTTAGATTCTATCTTAAAATCATGTCTATTAATAAATTGCAATACCTACTTCTAAAAATAAATAGCTGTGATGAGAATAGTGGTATACATAACTCTTGCTTTAATTTAGGTAAAATGTAGTAAATAGTATATTTATAAAATTAAATTAAGTAAATAATATATTTTAAAATTATTTGAAGTAAATAATAATTTAAGTGGTAAATGAATCATTTACTGCATAAATAGTTCATTTATGCCTAGTGAAAACATTTTTTTCACGTAAATTTTTACGGTTGGTAAAAAGATTTTTTTCACATAAATAGATTTTTTTTTATAGATTTTACTTTAAATATTTTAAAATTTGTTATTTACATAATTTTATTTCAAAAATATGCTATTTATTACATTTTCTCTTTAATTTATTCATAAAACGGATTGATGGAATGGCAATCGCATGACCCGACTTATCCCGTTACCATAAGTAAACCCGCATGTTACCGCTTTATTTTCCCTATATGTATGTACATATAGGTTGTAATTTGTGAATCAAAAGGTTTAAGCCTTACCTTGACCATTTTTGTGGTCTGAAGTCCGAGAAATACTAGAAATCAATGCAATGGCAACATGCTTTTTGTTAATGTCGGGCAATAATCAACAATTACTTTTGTCATTTGACATTTATCATAGCAAAAAAAAAAAAAAAAAATTTGCATGTCGCCAAAAAAAAAAAAAAAATGAAACAGCAAATTTAAACGTATGCAACAACGGCACAACTATTGAAATAAGTAGAAAATATTGTAATACATAGTTCCATAGAATCCATTTCATACAGAAGTTTCCATTCCACATAAACATCAACACAAATCATCACACATTAAAAATAACCTCTCAGTTAACAACAACAATTCTTTCTTTTTTTTTTTTTTTTTTCTCCTTTCCACCTATTTCACACCATGTTCTCCTTTCAACCATATGAAAGTCTTTTTATTGCAATATTACTACCTAGGAAAGGAAAATGTGGGATAATGAATCTAGGGAGCAAAGGGAGTAAATGTCTTATGAGGGTGTGAGAAATATGGGGGCAGTGGCTTCTTAAAGATGGGGTGGTCATGAAACTATGGCTTCTTGAAGACCGGAATGGGATGAGGAACCGGCTTGTAGATCGGAACTGGATGAGGAACCGGCTTGTAAATTGGGACAGGTTTGTAAACTGGAACTGGATGAGGAACAGGCTTGTAAATTGGAACAGGCTTGTAAATTGGAACAGGTTTGTAAACTGGAACTGGATGAGGAACAGGCTTGTAAATTGGAACAGGCTTGTAAATTGGAACAGGTTTGTAAACTGGAACTGGATGAGGAACAGGCTTGTAAATTGGAACAGGTTTGTAAACTGGAACTGGATGAGGAACAGGTTTGTAAATTGGAACAGGTTTGTAAATTGGAACATGTTTATAAATTGGAATAGGTTTGTAAATTGGAACAGGTTTATAAATTGGAACATGTTTGTAAATTGGAACAGGTGAAAAGAATGACTTTTCCTCTTTGATGCCTGCAGCCTCTGGCGTTTTGGACTCTTCTATTTTGTGTACATGCAAAAAAAAAAAAAAAAAAAAAAAAAAAGCTCAAGGTAATTAATATTCATATATATATTTGCTAATGAAAAATATGTTAAAAAAATAGCAAAGAGTAATTAGAACCATGTTATCAAATGCTGCTCAAGTAACCAAGTAACCAAATTAGAGTGAAAAATGCTTGGGACGGTGGTGCTCAGCACGACAATTAACACACTGTGAGTTCTTTATTGTAGGATTCACTTTTTATTAGTGTGTGGTGCTCAACATGACTGATACTCCTAACAGTGTTACATGCCGTGTATTACTTGAATTGAGAAGTTGTATTACAAAGCTAAAACCAATAAAAGGTCGCCTGAAGTAATATATACTGGACTAAGTATTCATAGGAAAGGGTAAAAATATGATCTTGTCTTTTACATGGTAAAAATGACATTGTAACCGAAAGAAAATTCTACCTGAAGAGGCATGGCAGAAGCTCACAGCAAACAGGCAGAGCCAGAGGGCCAGAAGTGCCCCTTGGAAAGAAGGAGTCTTCATATTTGGAACTCTTACTCTTGTGCCCACAAGAATCTTAGTACAATAAAAAGCCTATAAAGGTTTCAACTCAAAGATTTGAGTGTTTGATCAGTTCCATAGGATTTGTGAAATATATATAGATACATAGATTGGAGAAGCTGTTTTGGAGGCTAACTGCTTCTCACACTTAATTTTGGACAGCAAAAGGAGGGGACCCACTGAGTTTGTGATGCTTATATGTTCATTTAATGAATTCCTCAACTGCTATCCGTTACTCTTAAACTTTCTCTTTTTGTCAAATAATATTGTTGAGTTGTGAAGAAAGTGGTTTCTTTCTCACTTTACTTGTTGAGTATATTTGACAGCAGTGGGAGTATATATGATGAAGTTACAGTTTTTCTCTATGAAAGAAAAAGTTACAAAAGAAAATGTACAAGAAAATAATGCAATATTTTAGGTTACATAATTTAATGGAAACAAAATATATCTGACCCTTGTCAACTTTTGAAGCGAGAAAAGTGCCCACTTAAGCTACCAAAACAAAAGGAAATCCTAATGTAGACGCTGAGCCGCCTAGATTAATTAGAGTACTTGTGAACCAATATAGTATCTTATATGTGCGCCATTAATTATACAGTTGAGCAGCAACATAAATGGAAAAGTAGAAGGATTCTAAAAGCAAAAGTGGAGATTTCTCTTGACAACTAAATGGGAGAGGCTTAATTTTAGTTGTTTTCATGTTGTTGGAAAGTAGCAATATAGTGAAAATACGTGCATAAAAAATGTTTCTTGCTTCACTGCCGATTTTAACTTTTTTAACTTGTCCAACACGTAACTGGGCATATTTATCTAGAGCAGTACTTTTTTATTTTTTATTTTATTATTATTATTATTATTATTATTATTATTATTATTTTTGCTGCTAATCACTCAAAGAGAAGTAGTTGAGTGGAAAAAATTTAATCTCCTAATTTTTTATGCCATTTTGACTAGTCCCCTAACTAGCAAATAACATTGTCGTTTATTAAAAAGAATCTAGAAGTCGTAAGCATTGATTAAATGCCCGCATTTAATGGTGTGCATAATCCGCCATAGATGCACCGAAAAGTTGGTTGATATCTCTTTGCTAGCACATCCTTTCCAAATCACATCATCCTCAAGTTTAATTGGAGCCAAACAGTTTCATCTTCTAGCCTAACTGAATAGTGAGTTATTAATTAGTATACATCAACTTTATCAAGAGTTGTTTCCCTGCGATGTTGTATGCGACTTTTCAGAGCTCGATATTTGTGCATTTTCTCATCGTAGGAACTCGGTACATGTTTTACCCCTCCGTATTTCATTAGATTGTATTAGTAGAACCAATCTACTGTCAGGATTAAGTTTCCGTGTGTAAAGAGGTAAAAATTAAGAGTCCATATCTCCTTAGTTTAGAATACAATTTATCTATTTCAAATAAAGAATAGCTTTTGAACCCTTCCTGATGAGAAAATTATGAACGCGTTTAAAACTCATTTTAAAATGATTATTTTTTGTATAAAAATAAAAACATTTTCAATCTCAGACAGAAATTATTTTTAAAATACATTTGGTGATTTTATCAAGAGATTGTTTTCAGTATAAAAAAAGCCATTAATCTCTCTGTCTCTTTCTCCCTGCTCGAGAGGAGAAAACCAAAACAAAAAATGAAAAATGATTAAAAGTCGTTTTTCATTTGTCTATCATTTTATACTAAATCAAAATATTGTTTTCATTTTAGTTTTTTGTCTTTATTGTGCCAAATGCCTGAGAATGTTTTCATTTTTTCTTTCTTAAAAAACGTGAAGAACAAAAACGGGATTAATTCCAAACACGGCCTATGAGTTTCTTATCTAGCTCATTCTGATGCTAATAATTCGTGACTAGAAGAGGAATATTATTCCGCATCACAATTGGTTTTAACATAATTTCATGGAAAAAAGAGAGAAAATTTTGCTTTATAATAATTGGTTTTGAAATGATTTCGTGAAAAAAAGGAGAGAAATTTCGCTTGAAGAAAAGTTGATACAAAAATCATGAAGAAGAACCAAATAGCCGTGTCGAGCTTGACCCTGACGCCACAAAGTTCAGAGGCTGTAGACAAGGCGGCGAATAGGCATTGCTTGCATTCTCATAGTTTGCTTCCAGTCGGTTGCTCTTCATATCAAGTTCATCATTTTTCATAGCACTCTGATATTTGGCAATGAAAAAAACTATGATAGGTTAATCACATATACATGTCACCTAGCAAGTTCTCAAGATTATATGCACTGATCGTTGAATCCTGTACTAAGCGATATCTCTCTAGCTCCTTGGGAAGTTAGTCCAACTTTTTCTACATAGCTAGTTAAATTATTGCACCACTATATACTAATTAATCAAATATTGCAGACGTCTATTTTGTGATGTCTGTCATACCTGAACCGAAAAATTGCGAAACGAAGGGAGGAATCGGATCTTGCAGTACTCGTTAAACATCAAAGTTAACAAGAGTAATGGAATCGTGGAGATGGATGCAGCCGGCTTTGATTTCAGCCCAAAAAGACCAATCATAGTAATTTGCATGAGAACCACTGCCATGAGAATATAGCTGTGAATGTGAGGCCAATACTCTCCACAAGTCTCGTAAATAATGTCGTACACGTCTTCGATCTGCAAAATCATTTCGTATCATAACAAAACACTGGTCTTGATCACGACTTCTGACAATTTTTCACGAAAAGTTAAAAAGAAAACTCAACCTGGTTGATAAACACAAGATAGCCTAGGCAGAAGTAGCCAATGAGAAATGGGAGCAGCAATGGTGAAACAACTGCATACACCATCCCAATCAGTATTGACAAAGAGGCCATGGGAATAACTCTACAGTAAGGTAGTGAATAAAGATAAGGGTTCTTTTCCTTTCTGCCGCAGTAGAAACAAGATTTTATGCAATCCCAAGAGAGTAAGCCCGGCTGAAGAATCTCTAAGGAAAACCCTGATAACCCATCTGTCAAAATATATGTCATGAAGAAATCCGCCTGTCACATTCAAAGGATAATTACCACATAACAAACTCAAATTTTATGAAGATTGCAAAAATTGGTAAATTGTAGTATGGCTATTTATATCTTCATTTAATTGATGTCAAAGGCAAGTAAAAGGTTCTAAGAGCAAGATACGCCAAGAATTAGACTAAGAACAAATTACTTGAGCAGAGACGGCACTAGCTAGGCGAGCAGGGAAATCTTTAGGATGACTAAATGATTCACCAATTTGGTCAAGCAAAGAACCCGACAACAAGCTCAAAAAGAACACATTTCCCACCAGAAAATAGAAGACCATGTTGCAAGTTTTTATCTCCTCCTTGCTCTTGGAGATAGATCCACCAAGCTTAGCCATTCCAAGCATAGCAAAGGGAATGATATATATGAATCCTTTAAGAATGGCACTTGGAAGATACCCTGTGATGACAGAGCTTAAACCTGGTCTGCATAGCAATCGAGAGTCAAACAATAACGAAGTATCAACTATTATTCGCAATGTTATGAGATTGAAGATGCTAGATTTAGAACCAAAATCATTTGTGGTATAACATTCACAAACAAGTTCGTGTTTAGATACTTGTACTGGTCATGCACATCGAGGTCTAAATTGACATGTACGATTCAAAAAGTAATACAAAAAACAAAGAAAGGAAAGAAAGTGAATACTTACATCAATTGTATAGCCATGGCGGGGGGGAACCATTTTTTTAGCTTCTCAAATTTGGCTATCCCTTGGACAGCAGTGACCGGAATAGCGAAGAAAATAGTAAGGAGTGTGGCTGTGAGAAAAACTCCGAGTCTGCAAAGTGGCAAAATTCTGTAGGGTATCACCAAATTTCTCCACGATACATCCCTTGGCTCTGGAGCCATAGAGGTAATCCAACTAAGTGGATGTGAGTGCTGCTGAGATTGAGCCACTAGCGTGGCAGCTAACCGTGACTTGAAAGTTACAAATGCAACGGGCAACTCCTACAAAAGCATAATGAAACTTGAGATATCAAAGTTACAACCTCATAATACTTATTTGCCACAAATGAAATTACCTTTTGTTTGAGTGTACTTTCGCTCTGTAATTGGTTAATCTTGAGACGAAGTTCCTCCAGCTTTTCCTCTTGCAAAGCTAATTTTGCTTCCTCACGATCAGATTTATCCAAGAGAAAAGTTCCTGATCTGTTTGTTTGTTTCACTTCCGACCTCTCTTTCAAGTTGTTTATCTTTCTTGCTATAGATTTTGCCTGGTTCTACATGTTATACTATCTGTAAGAGATGTCCCTTAAAAGCAACACAAAAACTAGATGTGCACTTTGTGAACAATATTCAGAAATTCAAAGGCAATAAACTAATGCAAAGGCGATTCAATCTTAGGCTACTAAAAACTTACCATCAACTCTTCAACATCTTTGCCATTGTATAAAATTTGATAAGAATGGTAATCATGCGGGTAGTATTTAGAGAAGAAGTGATCAGCCGAACAAGCTCGAGCCTTGTGTTCGGTACAGAAAGGGATTTCCCGAACTAGAACAGTAAACTGGTCAGGCCGATCCCTAATTTGTTGAAGTTGTTGAATTCTTTTGATCAAAATCTCATTATATTCCTGAAAATAATGGTAATCATTTTCTTTTTGCAGGAATGAAGCTAATCAAGAACTACTAGTGTTCAAAGTGTTAGAATAACGTGCAGTTGACAAGTCACCTTGTATAGCAAATATAGTGCATAGAAAGATAAAAACCACAAGCATCCAAAGTGTATCCAAAGCCTGTGAAATGAAAAGAAACTTAGTCAAACAAATTGGGCTGAAAAGTAAACAAGAAACAAATCAAAAGATCACTAAATATGGAGAAAAGAAGAAAAAATCTGTTAAGCCGTCAACAAATCGGCAATGCATTAGAGATGCTCTTCTACACAGAAACTTTATACATATTCACATCATTACACGCACACACATACACAAATATCTTCAATTCATGTCTAAAATTTCAGAAAGGTGGTGGAAAAAGAATTACTTTATGTTGAAGAGGCATAAGTAGCAAAATTGCACAAACTGCTTTAAAAAAAAACCAAAAAAAAAAAGACCCTTTATTCTAATACTTCAGTAGTTCAATTAATGCCATAATGCCATATATATCCATTAACCAAACAAACAAACAAAAAAAAAACTGTATGTAGTAACCTTGTTTCTTTGTAACAAAATTCAGCTGTAGTTGTATTATATTTATACATCTAAAAATTGCTTGGAACCAAAAAGCAGACACAAATAGGAGCTATAAGTAGGGGAAGAAATTGGAAAATGTACAATCCGTATTCACAAACGACTCAGTTATCTACCAGTTTACCTGTCAGAACCTCTGCTGATATTGGATATTGTAAAAGCATCCATGGAATGATAAGTAATAGATAATTCATCCTGGCCATTATAGTTCACCGGAATAAGAACCGCCAATCCCACTACAGTGCACACCACAGAGAACTTTATACTGCCAAAAAAAAAAAAAAACCCTCAAGAATTCACTCTCATGAGAATAAAGTCTAATAAAACAAAAAAAAAAAAAAACCATTTTTGAATGGAGTGTGAAGAATCTAACTGACCCGAACTTGAAGAGCCTGATGACGACGAGAGCGTCGAGGCCGGAAGCGTGGAGGATTTCGGTCTCCGGGACGCGGAAAGAGCGGGAAATCCAAGAGAGAGAAGGGCAGTAGCGACGGAGAGAGAAGAAACGGCGGTCGAAGTGGATTTGGTGGTTGAGCGACAGACGACGTGCGTAGTAGATTGGGGCGTTGGAAGGTTGTTTCTTGAGAATGGAGAAGAGTGAGAGCACCACCATGGCCAATCCGAAGTTTATGGCCACGGAAGCAATTAGGCTTTCTGGGTTCATCTTTGGAATATTGCTTACTCTGGTTTCAGTGCTTTGATCATTTGAACCACTTTTTTTTTTAGAGAGAGAAAATGAGGGAGGGAGAGAGAGAGAGAGGGGGCGGTTGTTGTTGTTGTCAGGGTTTGTGGTGGTACGTGGCGGAGTTAGAAGAGAGGGAGACTTTGGGAGAGTATACGTTGCAGGCTTCGGCTGCATGCATGACTCACAAACTGACCAACGACATTGTTTTCTTTCTTTGCTATTTTTTTTCCCTTTTTTGTCAGGATAAATTTGAGGGTTTTTCTATTTATTTAAAGATAAGTAGATGACTATGAGGAATGTATTTTCGAAGAAATGTGGAAAAGTTGTTTCACAAAAACCAGCCATTTTTCTTATTGATGTCGTTTCTGCCTTCATTTCCATGTAGTTTTATTTTATAGTCGTTTTCTCTTTCTATCGTTTCTTCTCCCAAATTGTCGTATTTATCATCTCTTGTCATCACTATCGTTTTCAACGTTTATATCATGCCCATTCTCTAATATCAACTTTTCATTGTCGTTTCATATTTTCCTGTCGTTTTTTTAGTTGCTTTACGCTTGTTGTCCTTTCTTTCTTTTATTGTCCTTTCGTCTGTATGTTGTCGTTTTGTCATTTTTGTCCACGTAATTGTTTCTTTTTTACGTCTTCGCGTTTCTCTCTTCTTCACGTTTTTATTTATTTATTTATTTATTTTTCAATTTTTTAGATACTGTCTTCCATTTGTCTCCTTTTTTGGCGCATGAGTGGTATATAGTTTAATGTTGTTTCTCAGGTTTATGTAGCTCTTACATTTTTACGTGGCTTCATCCTATTATTGTCATTTTCTCTTTTATTTGTTCATTTTGTTGTCGTTTAAATTATTTTGGGTCGTTTCATGCCCCCTGTTATCGCTTTTGTCCCTGTTTTGTCGATTTATCCTTGTTGTTCTTTAAATTGTTTCTTATTCTGTTTTATGTCGTATTTATTTTTATTTCCTTGATAATTTTTATTTAGTTTTCTCTTTTACTATTATTTCAAATATTGTCGTTTCCTTCTTTTACTATCCTTTTCATTATAATTAGTCTTTTTTCAAATTTGTGTTCCCGTTTATTTAGTTTCTTCTTTTACTTGGATTTTTGTATTCATTATTGTTTTTTCTTTAAGGTTAATTCCATTTTCAACCTCATTCCTTTCCTCTGTCGTTTTCTTCAATTTAATGCCGTTTTTCCGTGTGTCGTCTTTTTTGCCATCTGTAATTTCTATACCAGTTTTCTCCTCTCATTCTCATTTGTTCACTCCGAACCGTACAACTTCAATTTATCCAAGGGATACATCTATTTCTTTTGTCTTTTTCTCTTTAAACTTAGCTCCAGTTTTTGTTCGCTGTTCGAAACGCAAATAAACCAATCATCGTAATCAACTAATCATTATCAGTTTTGCTGTAAATGTTATAAAAGTAAGTCAGTTAATTAAAAACGACGCACATTAATTAACATCAATTTTTTCTTTTCCTTTTCTTTGAATATAAATTACTATTAGTATTCTTAAAACAGACTATAATTTTTTCTTCTTTACATGCAAACAACATTATGGGATTTGGGAGACATTTTTTCTCTTTTTTCTTTTTGGCTTACTAGCCACATGCATCAATCTAGTTCTAACCAAAACCACACGCAAAGCCCGAGAACTAGTTACTGTTAGAAAAAAATAAAAATAAAAAACCAGGTACTCATACTTTTAAGGCTTGGGTCGTTTGGCTAATGGATTCGTGTCCTGATTTAAATTATGGTTCGTAGTTCGCTATAGTATTTTCTCTCATAAAAAATACACGTAAATCGAGAATGATTCTAAATCATGATTCTGAATCCATGAGCAAAAGCAAGACTTACCAATAAAAATCCATTTCTAACCGGAGATTCCTTCTTAAAACAATAAGCTACTCACTAAACGTGTTCATTCTGATATCAAATTTTCACTGTCGTTTTCCGTTTTCCCCATGGTTTTTTATTGTCGTTTTCTGAGTTCCCATCATTGTCTTTCCTTCTATCTGTTGTCGTTTCATCAGTTGTTGTCCTTTTCTATCTAAGTAATTATTTCTTTTTTTACGTATTTCGTGTTTCTATCTTCACTTTTATGTCGTTTCGATTGTTGTCTTATACGCGTGTTGGTTTTACCCATCCTTATTGTTTTATCATTGTCCCTTTTTCGTGCAAATGTGGTATATAGTTTTCCGTCGTTTTTCCGGTTTCTGTAGCTTTTAAGTTTTGATGTCGTTTCATAATGTTGTCCTCTTTCTCTGCTCTGTTGTTTCCTTTGTTGTTGTTTTTATTATTGTCGTTCCATGCCACAGTTATCGCGTTTTCCATTTTTCTCATTTTATGCCTCGTTATTCCTTATTGTTTGTCTTGTTCTTCTTTATGTCGTATTTGCTTTTATTTTTATATTTCATTTCTACACAGTGTTCACTATTATGACGGTTTCCAATTTTATAGTTTCCCTTTCTTATTATTGTTTTTCATTATAAGTAGGTTTTCAAATTTGTTGTCGTTTCTATTTTTTCTATTGGAATTTTCTTAATTTATTCTTGTTTTCTTTCCTTTGTGATTTCAACTTTCTTTCCTATTTTGTCGTTTCCTTTATTTATCAGTTATCCATATTATAATTGTCGTTTTCCACTTAATGTCGTTTTTCCTTGTTTTGCAGATTTTACCCCTACAATTGTCATTTAAATTTCTTGTCATTGTTAATGTTTCTACATTTTTCATCATAATATATCATATATATATATATATATATTCTGACTGAACTTTGTTTAGTTGGGGATTCGTCTTCTGATTTGAATCATGATTCGTGGTTCGCTATAGTATTTTCTCTCACAAAAAATACACGTAAATCAAAATTTACTCCTTCCGCTCTCATTTGTCCACTCCGAATCATACAACAACAATTTGTTCAAAGGGACATGCCTTTTCTTTTGTCTATTTCTTTTTAAACTTCTGCTTCAATTTTTGTTCCGTTCCACATGAAAATAAACCAATCATCATCATCAGTTTTGCACTTTTACTGTATACGCATTTAGTTTGTTACATTTTTTGGATCTATTAAAAAAACCGAGTAAAAAGGAAGCTAAAACCAAACACGAAGGTAATGTTTGATAAAATAATATTATGAAGGATGTGGAAGAATATTTATACATATAATATGGGGAAAAAAAGTTTGTATGTAATAGCGATAAATTAGAAGAAATATTAATTTGATTATAGGCTCGTGAGTTTATGGACCGTTTATTATTCGTTTGTTCATTTTTTATGTTACTCTTTTGGTTTCGGTTAAATACACAGATTATATGTGATTTACACGAACTTGTATATATATTTGTCAATGACGTAGGATAATCAGACTTTAATTCCTCTATTCCTGTTCAAACCATTAACATTTGTGGCCCGTTTAATTCGCTGATTCGAGTTGAGATGTAACTTTATGTGAGAGCTTTTTACTGTAACAAAAAAGTTAGATGTGTGACTGTTTCTGAGAACTTTTTACTGTAACAAAATTTAAATTCTAAACTCGAATTGGTGAAATGAACCGGGCCTTGGACTTCTATGTGCAACCCTAACTTTAACCAACCTTATCACTACAAAATACATGGACGTTGTATCTGAAGGGAAAAAAAATAAAAATAAACATTGATCTATTTTATTGATTTTACAAATTTCAGATAGAGCATCGTTTACTATCAATCACACTGGCGGTGCAAATAATGGTAAAATATCACCATTTTAAGCTAAGGCAAAAAAAAAAAATTTATAATTTAACGTATTGATGATCAAAATTGGAGTAAGTATAGTTCTTAATCAAAGAACATAAGGACCACAAAATTTATGCTGCTTGTGACGTGTCTACAGTTTTCCAGAGGTAGATTTGTCTCTGTAAACTTTGTCCCAGCCGTTTTTTTATTAATTCTCTCTCTCTCTCTCTCTGAGAGATGAATTTTCAACTTGGGAAATTAAAATTCCAAATAAGAATCGTACAGCCAAAACAAAATTATTTAATATTTTGTCTTGACCGACACAGTAAAAACTTTCAGAGTTCTAAAAATAGTTCATTGTATATGGAGTTTTTTATTCATTTGAAAATTGGTCATTGGACTTGAGTGATTTAAATTGGGTGCATCACAAAATAGTGACAGCTAGAGGAATAAAAGGGTTAGGTTCAGAATTACTATTTTCTGGAGAGAAAAGTCGCAAACAAACCTGCAAAAGATTCAACAAAAATGTTTGCAAGTGGCAACAATGAGTCGTATAAGGAACTTTGCTCAACAAACATACATTAGCTAATATTCAACAACTCCAGAGAACATGCATGAAGGTTACCGATCCATCCTAAAAGTTTAAGTTGTTAGGAGATGAGTTAACAATAATTTAATACTTTAACACTTTGTGGACTGTACAATGAGCAATCGTGTGGGTAAATTAATTAGAAAGCTTAACACGTGAATATTTAAGCCCGAGATATATTAAAGACCCAACACATGATGACAATTTAAATGGAAATAAAGAGTGCAATTACAATGATTTAAAATCAGGATCTCCCGTTCTGATACCATGAAGATTACCAATCCCACATAAAGGAAATATACCTATGAAATTTTGCCTTGTTCATTGTGCAAATCTCAGTTAAGCTGTCCAGACAAAAATAAGGAATTATCCAAAGGAGAAAAGTTTTCAAGAATTGGCTGGCCCCGGCACATTTTTCACAGGCTTTCAGTGGGATGCATATAGATATAGAAAAGAAAAAAAAATACGACATCAAAATACCAAGTATTAAAAATAGTTCTATCACATTCATACCAAGCAATGACATGTAAAATATACAGGCCTAGCATCATTAACCATGACTATTGCACATCAGCAATCATCAAGAACAAAAAGATCAAGAGTTGGCTTATCTGTTATACCATTGCAAAATGAAACTGAAAACAACAGAATTTTCGAGAAGGCTTA